GTGAAGTTTTAAAAGCCTACCAGTGTTTTAAAATTGGATTACACTTTTGGGAATAGCGAATCTCTATCAGCTGATTGCACTGACAGTTCTACCACCAGGAGCGAGGCTTGTAATCCCAGAGAAGCTATGAAGGAAATGACCGTCTTTCACAGCTGTTCCACGGAGGTATCGGGACAATAACACGGAACGAGCTCGTTGGGCTGATTAAGTGTAGGCGTGCAGATTAAACACTCACACTTCCTGGGACCACAGAGTACCTGGCTTCACACGTAACGTTATTCTGAGCAGTAAGAAGAAATACGGACGGACTGCAGTGCTTGTGGTTTAAACGTCGATGTAATCGCAGACATGTTGCTGTGAAGAAATGCTTCTGCGGACTAACTATCGAACTGCTAGCTGTTGGAATGCATCCATTATAGTGGCTGAGGGAATCGCTCTGTTTCAATCCCGTTTACATGAACACAGTTTGGAATTCTCCATCAGTGGATACAAGCATCATCCAAATGGTAATAGATCCTTACCAGCCTCTGCACCGCTTACTGGAGATGCAAGCGTGCAAGCATTGTGGTATCTATAACAGACACCACAATACTTCTATTCATTTTAAATTTAAGCTCATACTAGACCTGATTTATCGAGCTCTTCGCTTTCTTGTATTTTCTATTTAGCTGAACAAGTTCTTTAGTGTACGATTTCAACTTTTCAGAGCTGTTTTGTTCAGTGAGTCAGATTTTATTGAGCCAAGCTGGCTGCTTTAACAAAGTGTATTCCCACCTTTTAACTCTTAATGCAGGTTTGTGCGTGTGAGTTTGTGTGAATGCAGTTTGCTAACAAACCTTGCACCCTCTCATCTAAATATGGTCACTTATGTCGAAGAAAAACCCCCCAAAAAACAAGACAAATTGAGGCTTTTAAAAAAACAAAACTATTATACACAAAAAATATTTCCATAAAAATAAAGGATGGCATTCAATAAGATGCCCATTTTGGTATTTCTGTAGCGTCCAAGCTGCAATTTGAGATAATTTCCTCTCATTTTGTGACCCATGCGTAAGAGATGCTGGTAGAACACGCTGCAATTTACAAGCGACAATCACCGATAACGCTGGGAGTTTCTGTGATCTGTGTGTAATTGCGAGCCCTCGCTTTGGGAATCGTACCTGTCAGGTTCCAGTCATAAAGCTCAAGAATATCCCGGAACAAGTAGGAGGCAAACAGCTCCAGGCCTCGGACGCAGTAGTTCTGTACACGAGAGACAGCAGAGGTTTGTTATCAGCGCCACGTGAACACACAGTAGCAGCATGCAGCCACAAAGACTACCCCGTAATGTAGATATGATTGATAACTAAATCCAGTTCTGAGACTTTATCACATAAGCCACCTCTTATTGATACAATCACCCTCAGCGGGTCAAAAGGAAGCTCTTTTTCCTCTTCTAAAAGGATTAGCACCTTCACTCATCCGAGCGCTGAGGTGCGAGAGTTACACGGAGCTCAGCGGCGCTCAGTCTCAGCCGTTTGAGATAAAAACAAAAGGGGTGAGAAAGGGGAGAAAAAGAGCTGGCAGATAAAGTGGGGTTTTACTGACCTCCGGTGCCATCTCCTCTATGAAGTGAATGGTGTAATCTATGTTGAAGCGGATCACACGGCACAATGGAATCTGTGATGATGAAAGGAGCAGAGGACGAGAAGAAGAAAGGACAGACCGACTCATTACCGTTAGGCAGAGGTCACAGCTTTGCAAGGAAACTCATTAAAACCTTGTTTT